GGGACACAGAGGGATTTGTGTGTGTCTTTTCTTGATACGGTTGGGTTTTGGGGTTTGATTTTTTTGGGGGGGGGAGGAGGGAGGGTAATACTGTACTAGAGAGGGGAGGCGACCTCATGGTAAATGTACACACTCGCTGCCCCCGAAAAAAACCCCGCGGTCACCGTGTTTTTGGGCGGTGGTTCAGGTGAGGTTGCGCACGGCCGTGCCGCTGGGCAACGTGTCGTGTGTGCCCTCCCTCGCCGCTCCCTCCGCGCCGGCCGCCGTTCGACCTCAGCTGGGACAGTTCGCCTGCCGCGGCCTGAATTGACCTGAATTGGTCAGTTGGCTTCTGCGAAGTGGAGGGTATGAGGTAGCCAAAAACCGCTCTAGACTGTGGTTTCCTCTGTTAGTCTTGCCTGACAGACAGACATCTCTTGAGGAGTCTGCTCCTTCCCCTGCTGGGTATCCTGTGCGTGTGCAGAAGGTAACAGAGCAGAGCCAGCACCCAAGTCCCCAGAACATTTTTCCAGAAAGCATTCCCGGTGCCTGGCTGCCGCCTGGTTTTCCAAGAAGCATTGCATCAAACAGAGCTCCTCTGTCTGCCTGCTGCCCGCAGTGTTGAATGGCATCCATAAAGGTGGCTGGTTTGCTACTGTTATGGCTGGTATAAAGTCCTCTGCTTCTGTCACTGCCAGGGCCTAGGGTATGGAGATGAGGGACCCACCAAAACCGAGGGCCTGGGGAGGTGGTGTCCTGCTGCCCTTCCCGTGGTGGGGCTGGCAAAGCCTGCTCATGAAATAGTGCAGGATATCTGTAAAATTTGGGGCATGTCAGAGCAACAATTCACATAGCTGCAGTCCAAAGGTATTTTGATCTCTTCAGGTTTTCTGTACCTGTTTGCTGAACATCAGTCTTTGTGGTTTACATCCATAAGTAATTTGGGTGATGAAAAGCATATACACCTAAGCGTCATTTCATATTGCTCACTAACATAGGTTTCTGCTGACTAATGTTAGGAGGGTTTATTTTACTAAAGATTTACCTCTTATTATTGTGTTGCAGCAAGATCACCGAGAATGCAAAGAAATCCTTGGCCTCTCTTAAGAGAGAAAATCCTCAAATTGAGCCAACGCTTGCCATTATTCAGGTACAGTATGTCTGTATGCTCGCTGCCTGTGAGAGATCCCCTTCAGTGCCATTGCTTGCCTGAAGCTTTAGAAGCACATGATGCAGAAAGTAATTTTTATTCAAGCAAAGCAACGGGAGATGATCCCACCAGATTGTAGACTGATGGATTCACAGTCTCGTAAGCCCTTCTCCATGCCTGAAACAGCCATAGCAAACCTCAGGCTGTGGAAAAGGTTTGCAAAGGAAGGAAACAATTTTAGCTCATCTTCCCTTTGCTAACAGACTTCCCCCTTGTAAGACCAGATCGCTTTTTTTCACAGGTTGTCTCTGTTGATTGATGTATTTAAGTCAAGACAGTGGTTCTTGACCTTTATTTAACTTGCAGATTTTGTTGCAGTCTTGAAAAAAGTGCTTATGTGCCTGAAAATGTGGACTTCCTTTCACCTTCCACCCCTGAAATAACATTGCCATAGTTAAGGAAGGACCCTGCTGCTTCCTGACAGCCCTCTTGCCTTTGGGCAGCAGTAGCCTGTCACTGCATTACTACTGTCCCAAACAGAGGAAAACCGCACTGAAAAGTCCCAGTCAGCTCAAAAGGCCTGTGTGAAAAAAATGTTGGCATCCTTTGCAAGCAGCAGCACTTTCTGAGGTGAGGCTATCCCATAGTAATTGAGAGCTCTTTTATTACTAACCGGTGAAGAGCTTTCCTTCCCATTCCACTGGTGTTGCTGTCTTTGAAATAGACAAACTCACAGATAAGAATTGCCTTCCCTGTTAAGCTTGGGAGATGTTCCTCTTCATATTTCATCAGATTTTGGGCCAAGAAAGTGGGGATATTTGTCATTCAGAGTGGCACCCAGAGCTGTGCACGCAGAAACATTCTTGTCCTGTTTTCTAGAACAGTCCTGTTGGTTTGGAGTAGGGGCACACTGAATGATTTAGGAGTGTTGATAGACGAGAAGCTCAACATGAGCCGGCAGTGCGCTCATGCAGCCCAGAAGGCCAGCCCCATCCTGGGATGTATCAAGAGAAGCGTGGTCAGCAGGTCAAGAGAGGTGATTCTCCTCCCTTACTCTGCTCTTGTGAGACCCCACCTTGAATACTGCGTCCACTTCTGGTGCCCACACCATAAGAGGGACATAGATCTGTTGGAGCGTGTTCAGAGGAGGCCACAAAGATGATCCAGGGGCTGGAGCACCTCTGCTGCGAGGACAGGCTGCGAGAGCTGGGATTGTTCAGTCTTGAAAAGAGAAGACTTCGGGGGGACTTAACAGCTGCCTTCCAATACCTGAAAGGAACCTACAGGAAGGCTGAGGAGGGACTTTTTGCAAGAGTGTCCACTGATAGGACAAGGGGAAATGGGTTTAAGTTGAAGGAGAATAGATTTAGATTAGATCTTAGGAAGAAATTCTTCAGTACGAGGGTGGCAAAACTTTGGAATAAATTGCCCAGAGATGTTCTGGCTGCCCCCTCCCTGGAGGTGTTCAAGGCCAAGTTGGATGGAGCCTTGAGTAGCCTGATCTAGTTGAGAGGCATCCCTGCCCATGACAGGGAGGTTGGACTAGATGATCTCTAAGGTCCCTTCCAGCCTAGGCCATTCTATGATTCCATGATTCTATGAATCTTTGACCTAACTATAAATATTTTTGAAATAATACTAGTGAATCTAAGAAGTGATGTACCAACTTTATTCCAGTAGAGCTTCTAAGAGAAGCTGAGTGAATAAGCTCTCTCATCTTACTGTCCCTGGCTAATTGCTGTTAATGTTTTCAGATAGCCCTCCAAGGCTGTAAGTTTAAGGACTGCTAGAAAGCAGTGGTCCATCCTCTTGTTGACCTGTTGTTTCTCATTCCTGTCTTGTCTCCATCCAGTTCAATCAGATTGATCCTCTCTGGGCTGGAGCCATCTAGGGAGACTTGTGTTCAGCTGTACTAGGCCCTGAGTCTGGTTTCTGCAGGGCCACATGAATGTGGCCTTCTATGGTGGCACATGGGAAGGGACATTGTTAGGGTCGGAGAGCGCATTCTGTGAGGAGAGGGTGGTTCCAGCTCACTTGTAATATAATTTGGGATGCATCCCCCTCAGTATTTTTGGATCATAGTTGTGCTTTAAATGAATGTACCTCCTGTCCCCATTTGCCCTGCTTGGTCGTTGGACCTTGGTTGGAGCTGCACAACAGCAGATGAAGATTCTTGATTTTGCTGAAGCTGAAAACTGATATATAGCAGCAGGATCTTGCTTAGCAATGGAGCTGTTGCCATGCAAAGCTCAGCGAAGCACCGTCAGCTCCCCTGCACCCCATGCCCGGCCCCTGCACCCTGCCAGGTAACATCCTGAGCTCTGACCTCACCTGTGCCGCTCTGTGGGCCGTGATGGGAACTGGTTCAGGGCAGGGGCTTTCTGCTCCCGCATGAGGTGAGCTTTCAGCAGGTGGTGATGTGGGGCTGTTACAGGGGACAGTGTGATACTGATGATGGCTGGATCCCAGTGGAATCTCTTGAACATCCCTGGTGATTACACATCAGTGGGGGGAAACACTTCCATGTTTGCTGGCACAAGGGAGCAGCTGTCCTTAATCCCGTCTTTTCTCTGGGCACAGTGTGAGCTCCATGGATATTCTCAGTGGAACAGCCTCTGTGCTGTGCTTTGCCCCCAGATGCCAGATTTGGAGAGCGGGAGGCTGGTAGTGTAGCACCAGGGATGCAGGCAGTGCTGGGCTGGGCGATGGAGGCCAAGCCCTCATCCGCTCTCAGGAGTTGCCTCTCTCCCCAGAGATGGTCCTTTTAAATGCTCTTTTGTCTTTGTCAGCAGTCTTGAACCCTTTGGGTTTATCAGGCTGGTACATTGTGGCAGGCCTGAACCAAAATAATTTTGGGTGATGGTAGTGACAGTCGAAGCCAGCTCTGGCAGCCAGCCATGGAATGAGCGGCTCAACTCCGACGGGAAGTGACTGGCACTGAGTCTTGTGGGAAAAGCTACATAGAATGTGTTCCTAAAGTTGTAAAAAAACCTGTTAACATTTATTTATTTCACTCTTATTGTCTGGGTTGGAAGACAGGTTTTATATATAGTCATATAGCTGTGAGAAGTGTTTTATTCATTTTATTAGGAAGCCGCTAACATTTTTGAGAGTGGAAACCCACTGATCTGTTCGTAGGAGGTTTCTAGTTCTGGGTGTTGAATTCTCTGTTTTAATGTTACAATATATGAAAATATTTGTGGGACCTCTTAAGATTCAAGCGTTAACTTGAAGAGTAGAATTCAGTCGTAATTATTACAGTTAAATATCGTAATATATGTGGTGTGTATAGGTATAGAGACTCAGGAAGGAGGATTCCTGTGTGAGATGATCTCGTAGGTAAATCTGCCCAGGAGACTCTTCTGTCCTAGTGCAGGTGCCTACTGGCAATTGGGAGGAGCCGATAACTTCCCTTGCTCCTGTATTCACAGAAGTTGCTGTAATATATGATGATTTACCTCATTTTTTGGTAGTAAGACACAAACCAGTGTTGTTAGGTGATACGGAGACACTGCAGGAAATGCTGTTATTGCTGTTGCCTGTTTCATCCATGTTACCCTTGTTACACAGCTGGATGGAGAATGGTATCTGCAGATGCAGATTGGTACCTTGCTTAAGTAGTAAATTAAGTGGAAATGGCCACTCTCATCTATAAAAGCCAGGCTAATATCACCACACACCTAAAATAATCAAGCCAAAATAAATTTACCAGATGGCCTTCTGCTTTTTTCTTAGAATTGCTATGCTTTTTATTTGTTTGAATACTAGTAGACACAAACATCCTGTGCATTACTGCACTTGCATTTTTAAATGTAGATTTATTATTTTAAAACTTAGTTTCTGTTTTGTTCCCCAAGGCACATAATGACCATATGATTCAAGAAATAAACAAGAACTTTGCCAAAGAGGTAAGCTTTAACTGATACACTTGTTATTAATCCTGAGCTACTTGCCTTTGGTAATTATAAGTATTTTCTTCTGGCAGGTTGGCGTACGTGTTATTCATGTCAGTCTCCCTGAAGGCAGCAGCAAGGATGAGGTAACTGCACTACCTGAAAGACTCTTCCTTTTTCACTTTCGTCATGAACTTACATTTATTGCTGACATTTATAATCCCTTTGAACTGATCTCTCTTAACTCTAATTAGTTAGAACTGCCTTAGTTCAAATAGCAAGTATTATTCCTCTACTGGCAAGCGTGGGAAAAAAGAGAACTAATGGGCTTGTCTGCTCTCCCCTGGCAAGCTGAGGCAGAATCAACAGATTCTGTTTTGTTTTCCAGTCTTATATTTAACTGCAGCATCCCCTCATACCAACATGGGTATCCTATCTCCCACAGTTGCTCTCGTGACAGTACTTGATTCTTGCCCAGGTTATTCAGGGAAATAAAAGATTAATTGATTTAGAAGAGGAGGGGATTAAATTAATTTGGCTGTTTAAACATACTTGTAATGCTTAAAGTATGTATTTAAAAAATCACCCACCTCAAATCACTAGAGGCCTGAATTCTTAACTCGTTGAAGGTGTTAGTTTGGAGACAGAGCACTAGTATCAAATATGGTTTAAGTATAGCAAACCTTATCTGTATATATGGTCCTGAGGCGACTGAAAGTAAAAACAACAAAGGGATCCATAGTAAAAGATGCTACTGTTCCCAGCTGGCCTCCTTGTCCTTGGTGAGTTTGATAATCCTTTAGACTTGTGGGTTTTGTGTACTGTTATGTATTTGGTACACTTTGTTTTTAAAATGTAACGATACTAGCTAAGGAAAAAACCTTATACTCATTTTCTCCCATTTTTGTTAATCCGATTAAATTACACAGCTTTTTGGTGATTGTTCCCTGCTTTTTTTTGTATGAATGAAAGATGTTCACATGATATTTATCACATGAGAAAATTTTGGCGTGTTTTGTTCCATTTTATGCTTCATGGTCAGAGCAGAATAGCATGTATCACTGTGGATCACCATTGCACTTCAGAGATGAACCGATCGGGTAGGTAGTACAGTCTCAGATGTCAAATATGACCAATTATAAAACATTTGAATTTACATCTAGTTCAGTGCTTGAAATTCATACAGTGCAGTGCTTTTTCAAAATGACAGTTCTTCACAAGATGACTGTCAGCTCTTAGGATTAAAGTGTTTTGAGAAGGAAAATTGGTACCAATATATGCTGTTTTAATAAAATGTATTTTCTCTTGTGTAATTGTTTTTTCCAGTGTTACAACTTTTTGTCCATGTTCTGTTTTGGGGTGCCATATGACCCTGAACTATGTTTTAACCAAGGCTTTTATTTCTAAAAGCATTTTCCGAAGCCATTAGGGTGTTGAGCTTTTGCTGGGATTTGGAATAGAAAAAGACAAAATGCTTTTGGCAGTATAATGTCACATAATACGTGTTGGCTTTGCAAAGTGTTTAGAATAGAATCAGGGTGGTTTAATTTGGTAAGCCGTGGAAATATAAACGAAGGAAAGCAGATTATTGCTTTTTCATTTAGAATTTGCAGTAATATGTGAGGGAAGCAGAGGTGGCCATAAAGTTGTTTTTTTTAATACAGATTTTATCCCCTTTGACTTATATTCTTCTTTTGTCTGTTGTTCTGATCTTTAATGCTTTTTATTTATTTCCTAGATTGTCAATGAAATCTTGAGACTTAACGATGATCCTAATGTGCAGGGCCTTGCCCTTGACCTCCCAGAAAGCTTATGTAGCAGTAAGGTATTAAATGCTGTGAAACCAGAGAAGGATGTGGATGGGTAAGTGAAGCATTTGAGAAATAGTATTAGCAGACACAAGGCTGATTGCTCTGTAAAATCAGTTTTCTCCTGTGCTTTTTATTAATGGATTCCTCAGTCAGTGTGACTAGCTGTGCTACTGAGCGGTGATAATCAATAAGAAGTCTTTTACTGAAGTCATTTTGGTCATTGTCTTTTTAATCGTTGTATACTGTATAATCAGGATATGATCTTTTATCAAAGAGATGAAAATCAAAGTTCTGATTTATTGATGATACTTAAGGTATTTCAGTACTTCAGTGGTACAAACAGTGGTCACAAAGTACTGAAGACAAGCCCTGAAATTTTCACAAGATGGAAAGGTTGGAGAGTAGGTTTTCACTTCCTTAGAGCACTCTCTCGTGGTGGGAAAGCAGGCTGCAATAGTTTGGATCCATTAGCAGAACTTTCCAGTGAGTCTTGAGGTGCCCTGCTCTTTGGAGACATCACTGGTGTCTGGGTTGCCATTTTTCTGCTCTTGCAGCCTTCTCGCTCTCCACCGCAGACTGTTGGTTTTTTATTACTCTTAAGAGAGATTGACAGAGGATGGAAAATTCAGAGCACCCTTGTATATGAGAGGGAAGGCAGTGCGGCTCTGAGTTCCCCCCAGCAAGCTGTCCTGAGCCCAGGAGGGTGTGTTGCCTCTGGCTCAGCTTGGCTCTGGCAGTGCTGGCCTGACTGCACCGCAGCCCCTGAGGTGTTTTGGGTGTCCCACTGCGTCGAGTGAAGAGCTGCCTGTGTATCGTGGGCTCGTGTCACTTGCGTGCGAAGTCACAGATCCCTTTCCTGGCCTCTCCTGAGGCTCAGTGTTTGTCTAACTGGAGTGTGGGATGATACAAATTAGGCACGGTACATAACTATCAAAGGATTTACTTTTATGAGATGTGCTTGCTCTTGGGATTAGCTGTTAGCCCTGTTACAAATGTTACTGGGGACTTATGTTACACAGAATTTTTTTGTTAAATGGCCTTTTTTTCCCCGCTGCAGATTATCCGATGTAAACCTCGGACGCTTGGTACGTGGCAATGCCTCTGATTGTCTAGTTCCTCCTACAGCATGTGCTGTGATGGAGCTTCTGGAAGATTTGGGTGAGACCTTTTATCATAATCATTACATTAATTTGAGCCTAACTAATTTTCTCAGTTTTAGTCCTGACTGAGAGGGAAGTAAAATCTCACCTTGTTGTATTTTCCAGGTTGTAGTTTTTTCCCACCTGAAATATATTTACCTCCTGCTTAGTGAGGAACCCCAGTGAGATCTAAATGTAATATTTGCAGAATTGAGTTGCAGTCCGACAGATTTTGGAGATTAGGCAGGGATTACCTGCCATCAGGAGATTTAATCTCACCGAAGCCACTTGAGACATCTGAGTCTTGAAAACCAAAATACAAGCATCAAGGGATCTCCCTTCACGATTTTGATTAGTGTGAACAGCTGAAGAAATCCAGGTCTGCCCGTAAATATCTGCTGAAGGAATCTTTTGGTTTGGGCTGTGTTGTGTAAATGCTAGCACTGGAATGGCAGATTGAAACAAGTGGCTTTACAGTGTGTGAAGATGTCATTAGTTTAAGGCATTCGTGATTGGTGAGACGAGGATTTCTGTAACAGGACTGTAAACAGATCCATTGTACTTAGTAACAAATATGAATGAAAGGATTTGTGCAAATAGAATACCAGAAAACCAGAGGTATTTGCTTACTAGTATAAGAGTTGAGAGGAAACAACTTCAAACCTGTGCTTTTGTGTACCTGCATGGGCTCTCAGAGAGCTGTCTGTAATTTCACAGGTGCTGTGGTTGTGCCGGCACCCGGCTCTGTCCTGTCCTGAGCCTCTTTGCTGGCTCTTCTGGAGGCCTTTGGTGGTGGGTGACCTGGTAAATGGGGGCAGTTAGCGTAGATGCTCTGTGGCCCGGCAGAGCCTGGTGCTAGAGCCTTTTTAGCCCATCTTTAAAGTGTCTAAATGATGGGGTTTGTGTTGTGCAGGTGGAAAGATGGTGCTGCTGGTGGGAGCCGATGGGGCAGTGGGTGCTGCCTTGCAGTGCCTGCTGCAGAGGGCAGGAGCGGCGACCCTGAGCTGCTGGTGGAAATCCCCTCAGCTGCAGAGCAAGGTGAGCACTCTTCTGACTGCCCCGTTCCCCAGGGGGGTCGTCCTGCATCCACACCGTCCCAGTATCCCTGCGGGCTGCCCGTGAGACACTGCTCCCCTTCGCTGCCGTTGCCCACAGGGAGACTCATCCTTGCAGGCACTGGAGCTGACTGGTAGCCAACATGAGGGTAGGATTTTTTCTGTTCTCCTTCCTGCTTGCTCAGAAATGGTGCTCAGGCAAACAGAGGCCTCTACCAAAATATCACACGTAGCAGCAGCTGCCATAACTTCATTATTTTATGCCAGTAGCTGTGAGAGAAAAAATTCGGGCTACAGCTCAAAACAAATGTGTTAGGTCTCCCTTTTTCTTTCCCTCAGTGTGAGAGCTGCCTGCTTTCATCTCATCCTTTGATATATTTATCTGTAGGAAATGACTTTTGTTGAGTTTGTGCCTTAAATGTTTGCAAATGCTGCCTTTTTTGGGACAAGGAGGATCACAGTCTTTATCTTTGACACCGTTCAGAGAAATTCAGGAGCCTGAGTCAAAGGATTCAATTTGCATGATCTTCCTGGTTGTTCTTCTGCAGAGCTTTTGGCAACAATTTAGAAGGTGGTATGACTTCCCATCAAGCTTCCTAGTTTGTACCTTAGTCCCAGATTTCATAGACGAGTACAACTGGGAATGTGCTGTATTTTGGTGATGTGCAGTGGGGTTCAGATTTTAGCTGTAGAAGAGGTGCACACACTTCAAGGGGCTGTCAGCAAGTTGGTGTAGGGGTGAGGTACAAGGAGACAGCTCTTGTGTTACATGGGGTGGCACATGCCACAAGGTGGCAGCCAATGCAAAATGATAGTATCAAACCGGTGGGTTTTGAAGGCAAGCAGAGGAGGAGGGAATACTTAAGCAGCTGTGATAGTTAGAAAGTTCTCTGGCAAACCTGTGTTTTCACAGCTGCGGATGTTTTTGTCAGACTTGTCTCAGTTCTGTGCTTTAAGTGACTGACAGCACTTAGGAAGCGTATGCCTCTCTTCAAGGTGGGAGCACTGTCAACTTAATATTAGCCAGGTCTCGTTCTTGAATTATTTCTCATTGTTTGAGGACTGCTTTGGACTGGATGAGGTGGATGACAGGGTGGCCACAGCAGTTTCCACTGGGTCACAGCACAAGACTTGGACTGGGCTAGAGCTGCTTGTGCAGTGCTGTTGATATGCTGGGGAGAGATCGGTTTCCTTCCATCCAGATGCTTTCCCAAAGTCGTGCTTTGCTTTTTGGCATTCACTGTAGCTTACCTCTAGCAGAAGGTCAAGGTGGGACCTACTGGGTCC